AAAGATATTTGTCATTCTCATGCAGTTTCATTAACCTGTCTGGAATGAAGACAGACTTGTGTTGTGTCCTTGGAGGAATGTGGTCCCACCACCCTAATTTCTCCCTGTGGTGCTTATCAAAAAAAAAGCTCAGAGCTGTTTGTAGAAGGAGTTGGAGAAGTGTCCTTGCTTAATTGAACTAATCTAGTTTCTGCTTTATAATTTAATCAGACATTTAAGGCTGTTTACCAGTTTTAGCTTTTCTTTTGCAGGGCATGAAAAAGAATAAAAATGATGCAAAAAAAATAGGGCCTCTAAAGCTAGCTGCCCTAAATGGACTAACCTTGACTAGAATGCCTCTGCCAGATGAGGGGAAGGAAGAATCAACAAGAGCAACAAATGATGAACGGGTATGTTGGAGTTTTTTTAACACTTGATTTCTCTTTTACACTAGTGATTTTTCCTAATGAAATGCATATCAATGGTGCTTTGTGTTGACTTTAAGATGCTTCAGATTCAAAGCAGCTCAAATACTGAGAACAGAAACGCAATGAAGAATGAGACTTCTGATCGATAAGTTATTGCTAGAAGTATTGGTTGTAACTCAGGCTTTTCTTTTAGATTTAAGACAACAGTGAATCAGATTACAGTTTGTCCTTTAAACATACAGGAAAAAAATTAACTAGTATCTGTTGGTACTTTTTTGTGCCAGGTCTTTCTGTTTTCTCTCTTAATTTTGGTGCTTTCCAGACTGAAAATATATGAAAACTAAAAGTCTGACTGTGAGATTGTACTTAGTTGTAATCATTAGTAATTAATACCATTTTGCAATAAATTTTGTAGTTAAATTACATCTCTATGATACAGTTGTGCAGATTGTATTTATCTGCTTTCCTGAGGTGGGTCTCTGAAAATATAGATGGAACTTGTGTTATCTGCAGAAATTTGAAATTCAGTGAGAGTTCCCAGATCACTAAGAAGACATCAGTTTCCTAGCATTTGAGGATCATTCTTTGAGAAATACAAGACTCCATCTGCTTGTGTCAGGCTAAACAACATCAGTAAATATATTTCAGCCCTCCTCATGTATCATTAGATAGGTTGCAGGAAAGTGACATGCAGTCGATATCCAGCCTCTGAAGGGTAGAAGAGTGCTGTCATCACACATATGACCAGGGAGCAACTAGATACACTAAGGTCTACAGTGATAATTGTACATTCTGCGACCAGTGGTCTCTTTAGAATGTGGTTCTGAGCATGGTTGGCATCCTCAGCTGCAGTCTCCTTCCAGCTCAATTTGTTGACAGTCACTGGGCAGGGGTAAGAGTCTGAAAAATATTCCTGCTCTCACCAGCTACAATTTTAAGAAAGAGGCCAAGAAAATTTGTTGCAAGGCACAGTCTGAGTTTAAAGGTTTGGAGTGAGGTCCATAAGAGGGAGATTTGACTGTTCCATTTCAACACAGTTGAAGTTCTTTTTGAGCTATATATGCACTCCTCAAAGTGGTTATTTTCTTTTACAGCTGTAATCTCTTCCTGCACTGACCTCTGTTGAATTCAGCCATATAATTATTCAGCCAGCTCTGCCCAGAGTGTTGAGATAAAAGAAAAATCCATAAAGTCAGTTTATGAACAAGACATGTCACTACACTTTCTCTTCAGGCAGTCATGTAAAGGCAGAACAGATACTGTGAAAAGGGTGTAATTCCTAAAACAGTCGAGAAGAGGCAATGCCAAGCAGACGTGTGTCATGAAAGGAAGTCCAGAAACAGATATTTTAGATTATGACTTTAAAGTTGATTCAATGCCTGTTTCATTGCTCAGCTTCATGTTATTATCAGCTTAAATGAGGAAATTTAGCCTAAAGATAATAAAGGAGTTTGTACAGCTGATATATTGATACTCAAATAGCGTATGATGGAGGTTTTACACCTTCCTCTGCAACATTTGGCATTATGGTTATTTGATACAAGACACTCTTCTGACCTGATACTGCAGAGCAGTTGCTGTGAGAGGCTGGGGACATGTGACATAGATGAAATTTTCTGGCTGAAATCTTACATATTATTCTCTAATTATTGTTGGCAAAGGGACGCTGAAATTCCAGAAGTGTCTTATGATTTTGAAAGAACTTAGTTTTGAAAGAATAAATCAGGTCCAGGGTGGGGAAGGAGCAGCTTATTAAATAAAACAGCTTGAATTATACTAGTAGGAAAAAATCCAGGTTTTACACCTCAGCTGCAGCAAGGGATTCTAAGAAGGATTTTCTGCTCTATGCAAAGTTTAGTTCCTTCACACTAAGAATAAGTGTAATATTGGCAGTGAATTATTAGCTCATTGACTGAGCACATGTTTTGTTTTACATTTTTAGAGTTTTTATCAAAAAAACCAGTAGATGACAAAGTATACTACTTTTTATTTTATTACAAGGTTAAAAGAGATCTTTTCAAACGTTGTAATCTAACATGCTATGTTGAGCAGGAGCATTATTTAGTATTTCTTGTTCAAAGGCATTTGAGGCAGTTCGTAGTATAGCATAGCTATCTGGTTTGGCTAAATATTTCTTTGCCCAGCTGGCTCATCGTTATAGAAACTATGAAGTAATTTCTCTTTCACGAGTGATATCCGCAGTCTTTGTGACCTAGTGAAGTATAACAGGCTTCTTAGTTTTCAGTTTTCATAAATTCCTGCTGGTTAGGGTTCTTCTAATTTATTCTTGTATGTTTGTGAAAACATTAATAGCTGGAAAACCATTGAAAAGTATGTAGTAGAAGGAAATACATACATTTTATACTTCATTAATTCTTTGTTAAAATGGACTTCCCTTAGAATGTGACTTTGTACGTTCATCTGTGTTCTGTCTTTCAGTGTAAAGTTCTGGAACACCGGTTAGAGCAGGGGATGGTGTTTACTGAGTATGAGCGCATTCAGAAAAAAAGACTCATAGATGGTGAGTGCTCAATAGCTCGGCTTCCTGAAAATGCTGAAAGAAACCGGTTCCAGGATGTCCTTCCTTATGATGATACCAGAGTAGAGCTAGTCCCAACCAAAGAAAATAACACGGGTTACATCAATGCATCTCATATCAAGGTGAGAGAAGTATTGTTGCAGGAATATTTTCCAGTTCATACAGTAATGAAAAATGGTTTTGGTTGTCAACTTGTTTTGGTCAGATGTGTAAGAATCCCTCCATTTTTTTGTCTTTCCCTTCATCTGCCAATGTTTCTTAGGGAAAAGGAGGAACCTGCTTTTCTTCATTATGTAAAATAATGGATGGTTAATTATTTGAGAGGTTTTCTGCATTTTACTTCTTTATTGATCTACTGTCTCCTTTCCATCTCATCTCTCTGTCAATTGATACTAACTTCCTGGAGTTAAGAAGGCAAATAGCTTTATAACAAACTGGGATCCTTTGGTATTTTTATGGAGTATGGTATTTTTGAACTGTAATGACAGTCCTTAATATTGCTTCCATTTCTCAGACTAGATCTACAATAGGCAGTAAGCTAGCTCCCAGTTTAAGCTTTTTTTGATGGTTAGAGGAGCAGATGGAGCCGGCAGAAACCTGCTCTTTTGTAAACTTCAGTTGCCTCCTTTCCTCAGACTTAGCTCTTTAAAGTCTGTTTTAAAAAGTGAAGAAGAGTTGACCTCAAGAACCTTCAGGGTAATTAATTAATTTTCAATGCATTTACCTACTTGAAGTACCACTGAGCTTGTTTCATGCTTTCGCTGAATAGACTCGAGGTTGTCAAAGCAGCAGTTGCGTAGCTGCCTTTTTTTAATGAATCTGTTGACATGGTACAATAGTTTCTATACTAATTCCCAAATATGGAGAACCTCTTCTGACCCTTCTCAAACTAGATAATATTTTTTGAGGAAACATCACCTAATTCTAGCTCTTTAGTGCATATAATAGCATTTACAGCAAGGCATGAAAGCTTCTCTAAATTCAAACTGGCTGGAACACCTTAAATTCACAAAGGAGAAGTTAGATTTTATTTACTCAGTTTTACATTTTGCTTATGATGTAAAACATATTTAGGTAGCTTTGTGCCTACGCAATCTTAACCATTGTGTCTCCTCTGCATCTAATATGACAAGATGAAGGGAGGCAGATAGAACACACAGTGTGCTCCTACCTTTGCAGTGTTGCTGGCTTTTTTTCAGTTCATCTGTCAAATGTCTGACTTAGGAATTGGCAGAAGGGAGTTTTCAATAATTACTAGTCTGATGCCTTTCCTTTTGCAGATCTCCGTTGGTGGCATAGAGTGGGATTACATTGCTACGCAGGGCCCTTTGCAGAACACATGTCAGGATTTCTGGCAAATGATCTGGGAACAAGGGATTGCCATCATAGCTATGGTGACAGCAGAAGAAGTGAGTAGTCACTGAGTTAGGTTTCTCCCAGAAATTCTGCTATTATTTTGGTATTATCCGTTACTTTGCTCCAACAAGAAGACCAATCAAATATACATTTCAAGTAATGCCCTTGTTGTTCTGACTTATTTTTCTTGGCAGAAAGATGTAAATATGCAAACTCTTTCTACTGGAAAGTTGGTTTATTCTGACAGAAACTGTAACACTGTAGTAGTGTTTAATAAAGAAGATTTAATAGTTGTTACACGAGCATAAGGTATATGAGTGTTCCTGTGTTTCTTGCTAAGTGAGTGTTTCACTTTTCAGGAAAGTGGGCGAGAAAAAAGCTTCAGATACTGGCCACGTCTTGGTTCAAGACACAATACTGTAACTTATGGAAGATTTAAGATAACCACACGATTCCGTACTGACTCAGGCTGCTATGCAACCACGGGTTTGAAGATTAAACATCTTCTCACAGGACAGGAGAGAACAGTTTGGCATCTGCAGTATACAGACTGGCCAGAGCATGGCTGTCCAGAGGATTTAAAGGGATTTCTATGTAAGTTGTATTTAATAGCTTTGTTTTGGGGTGTTGGGTTGTTTTTTTTTAGTACCTCCTAAAATGTCTGCCATGTGTGAGTTTGATAAGTATGCCAAGCATTCAGCCGTATAAGGTTTCTTTGCACCAGCAAGAGACGCTGAACTATATTTTTGGCAGGAGTATACCTGCCAGTTTGTTAAAGTGACTGTTTATGTCTAAAGCCAAATACTCAATTTACTAAAATTTCATATGGATTAAAACATAATTGCAACACATAATGCACATCAGAGTATGTTCCAGAAGTAGCAAGATAGCCATGAGCTGCCTTTGGTGGGGAACGGGGGAATGACCTAAGGAAAGCCTTGCAGAAGTTAGATGATCTTTATAGATCTGTATTGCTTTGGTTGGGATATGACTTGTGATTTATGCCATGCATCATTTTTCTGTGGGATGTCATTTGTTAAATTACTGTTTTCTGGTAGTCATACAGCATAATAGCAAGGCTTACAAGGCTTCATCTCCTAAATTTATCATTCTTACTAGCATACTTGGAAGAGATACAGTCAGTGCGGCGCCATACGAACAGCACTGCGGATCCTAAAAACTCCAATCCTCCTGTACTGGTCCATTGCAGTGCAGGTGTGGGACGAACAGGAGTGGTCATACTGTCAGAGATCATGATTGCTTGCTTGGAACACAATGAGGTGATCTCTTTTTCTTTCTCCTGCTTTAAATAATGTTAGGTAGTGGAAGAGTAAGTAGCCTGCCTAATAACTATTTCATGGCTATTCATCCGAGCCTTCCCAAGATGGGGCCTTTGGAAGAGCCCATATAACTGTGGTTGAAAGAGCTCTTGGCAATTCAGCAGAAGTTAATAATCTTCTAGAGTTGCCCACTTACACACTGGGTACTGGAATGCTCATTTGAATTCTTGACTCTCTAAGATGTTGAGTCACTGAATGGAACAAGGTATGCCTGAGGCTGCTAAGCATATTTCGGGATTTTGTTCTGACTTTAGCACTTTCACGTAATGCCTTAGTTTTAATGGATGACATTCAAGAACATGCTTTGTAGCCAGTCTGTGCTTATTATGAAATATTTTGTTCCTAAGTGTAGTGTATCTGCAGTATCAGTCTCAGCAGAGGACAAAGCAGTAGTTTTTTAAAAGAAAAACTGGTCCTGTCAGCTTTTAGCCAGATATGAACAGATGTAAAGTGTTCATTAATACTACTATATGACAGCTGAGGTTTACCCAACTGTTTCATTGTGCATCCCTGTCCTAATACTGACATATTTTGCAGCCATTAGGTTTTTGAAGACCCATGAGCTCTTTGAGACTCATGAGATTAGCAAGTTTAAAATTATGTGTATTTCACAGATGAGGAGGTAGGCGTGGCCAGTGGTGTAGTGCAGTCCATTCTGCATGCATGGGCAAGGAATTGTCAGAGCTGAAATTAGAGCAGCTGATTCTGCCCTTAGCTCACTGGTACTGCTCTGAACCTCCTGCTGAGGAAGGGCAGGCCAGTTTCCTTACCTGCCAGTTACTTGTAATGGTTTATTTCCTTCCTCTAGATGCTGGACATCCCACACGTGCTGGACATGTTGAGGCAGCAGAGAATGATGATGGTGCAGACTCTCTCGCAGTACACTTTTGTCTATGGAGTTCTCATTCAGTTTCTCAAAAGTTCTAGACTTATATAATCCATGCCTCTTCCTAAGGGACACTGCAATAGTTTACAGAAAGAAAATGATGGTTGTCCAAGCAGACCTGCTTTCACTGGTATTTTCTTCATATGAGGAATCATGCAGTTACCTTTTAGGGCTGGTATGTGACTGTTAAATGCAAGTCAGTGTTAACAGCCCCCGCAAAGCAGAATCTTCACTGGACTAAATTCTTCCCGTGTTCAGCTGCAGTCATATTAGGGAATGATTTTACTTGTACTGGTCTGTAGTACTTGTGTATGTTTTTTAGAGTGGTGTTACTCTGGGAAGAAAATTCTTATGAATGAAAGTACATGGCACACTTTGATTAACATTATGTTTTAAAACAGAACTGTTAACTGTGGGAAAGCTAAAATTTGTAGATGCACGTAGGGTGACAGACCTGCTTCTTGGGAATGTCAAGGTCTTCTGCAGTTTAATTCTGCTTTCAATTTTATATTTAGAACAATACGTCTATATTTTTTAAAATGAACTTTTGATTTCGTCTGGTTTATGCAGGAAAATGAGCAGCTCTGTTATTTTTATATTTTGCATTTTTTAATTAAAAAAAAAAACACACCATGAAACGCCATAATCCAAAACTTTTTAAACAGCATATTTTCAGAGGAGAAGACTGACAGTGGTTGAACTAACTTTTCAAAAATCATGCAGAAAACACTAGGGGAAGCTACTAGTAGTTAGTTGTAGTGCCAGGTAACAGAACTGAGAAGTGAAAGATGATGTTACCTGTTGATAACTTCCATTTGAGCAGAGGCGTGTTTACCTGTAACAAGAAGGGGAAAAATAATTATAAAAGGTTATTGGAAACAAATGGATGAGAGAAAGTACATGTTCAGTATTATGCATATATTTAGAGGACAGTTTGATTTTACTGGCTGAAATCAAAGTGGATGCAAATGTTTTAAGCACTTTTTTTGCTCTGTTATTTATGTAGTTAAACATAGAAACCATAATCATGCATTGTTTCATATGGTAATATACCATTACTAACCTGTTATTTTAGGAAGAGCTTTTTAAGTTGATGAAGTGAGAAAACCAAAATTGGAGTAAGAAGGTGCATAGGAAGGAAGTGGAAATGATGGTATGAAACCTAATGGAGGAGGTGTGGCAGCTGTGATTGCTGATTTACACGGTGCAAAAATGACGATAGACAATGTTTATGTTCCCAGTCAAGAAAGCCTTCAAAGTATGAGAAGTTTCTGTAAAATCCTCCAGGTTATTTTATCAGTACTAGTACACATTTCACTCAAGCTGTGCAGTGTTGCAGTGAAGAATATCCACAGAAGCTGTCTGAAAACATCTGCAGAATGTAAGAGCACTTACAGGTAACAGTGGAGATGTGTGTATTTTAGAAGCTGTGTAGGTGGCTAAGTCAATGGCTGTGGCATGGACCTGAAGATGACTCATACCTCTGGTAGTTTCCATCAGTCTGGTCTAATTACAGTATCCCTAAATAATCCTCTGCCTGTGGTTTTCAAATGAGGAGAATGTGTTTTTCAAATGGGGACAGTGTGATCTTACCTGCCTTTTCAAGTGTTTTGAGATGCTGACTGGAAAACCCTATTTAAAAGTGAGCTAGTTGGTTTCATTTTTAAAAAACCCAAATCTGTGATAGACTATTTTGCAGGAATGTTGAAGTGTCCATTTCCCGTTATACCTCCTTAGCAAAACTAAATGAAACTGAAAACAATTTTCATCACTGGTGAAATTGTTATTTTTCTGAGCTATAATAAGGATTTGGAACCTATTTTGAATAATTAAGCCCCCCTCAAAATGGTAATTGTATCAAAAAACATTAATTAGGAGTAATAAGTAGGTTTCCTCTGTAATAAGTGACTTCCACAAAGGAAAAACTCCACATGATCCTAGTAACATTGTGATAGTATGTCTTTCTATATGGAATGTATTGCTTTAAAATACACTAATATAGTGTAGAGCATTTGGTCTGTCTTTAGGCAGTCTGAATTTTTCTGCTCTCAGTGAAAGTAACATTGCATATTTCATATGGGGAAAGAAATTTTTCTCTTCATAAAATCATGAATGGTTTGGGCTATATTAGCTGCCAAATGTAAAACTGGAAGTCCAGAGGAAACCAGTTAGTGCAGACTGATTCTTTAGGTGTAAATCTTGCCCATAAACAACTGTAACGTATCGGTGTTAACAGAAGTATTGAAAGAAATGAACATACTTAGCTATTTGTATTATGCTTGTGTTTTAAAAACATTGCTACTTTTTTTTTTTCCTCAGTTCACTTCTATTTTCAGGAATATTTTTGAATGGGAAGGTATACTCTAACATGTAGCTTGGGCCATTTCCACTTCTAAACTTTGGACTGTGATCTCCATAGCCACATACATGCAGCTTTTAATGAATTATATACAACCACGATGTCAAGCAACAATTTTTAGCTGTTCTGCAGTTCCTGGGACAGAATATTAGCTGTGAGGCATTAAAAGGAGCAGTTAAAAGAAGCAATTTAATGCAAAACTTACAGGATTATCTGCAGTAGGTGGGGAAACAAGTGTCTTTTGTCTTCCTTTTCTGTTTTGCTGAAAGACATTGTGTTCACTTTTAGAGGCAGTTGAGTGGTTGCTCTCTTACCTGGTAGTCACAGTCTTGATTAATTTTTTTAAGTGTAACACTGCTACCTCCTCCACTTCAGCTTTCAGTTCTGTCCATCAGCAGTCTGCTTTTGCATTAATAGACTTAACTTTAATAGATTGGACTTTATGGGAGTGTTCCTCCTGAAGACAGGAGGATTGCTTTTGTGTGCAAGCATATAGCTCCAAGCAAGCACTGAAAATGAGCAATTTCTCTTCTCAAGATACCAAATTAAAATAAACTTCACAACCTCCTGTAACAAATTTAATTTTGAAACATTGTTTAGATTTTCAGTTACCTTTAAAGGAAATTTCAGTTTTTAGTACTTTGCTCTGAGCCTTGAAAAGGGATTCTTTTTCACATGTAATTGTTCTGAGTGCTTCATGAAGTGTTGGACATTAGAACATCCACTGTCCAAAGCCAGTCACAGTGTGAGTCAGAGATATATCTATCTGTCAAAAGCTTAAAATTCCACTGAAAACCTGTCCATTTTGCCAAATGTGCTTCTGTTTTATGGGGATGATACTAGATTATTATGCAAGATTTGAGCTGATATTTTTTAGAAAGAAAAGTTGTATGAAGACATTTTTGCAATAAATGGGCAAGATGATGCAGATCTCTAGGGATGTCAGAGCTCTCAGGGATAAATAAAGGTGCTGTATGCTGTCAGGAGGCAGATTTGACTGGGCTAGGTGGAAAATGCTTTTTAGGCTCAAATTCTATGAAGAGTCAGGAGAAGAACCCACAAATTGTGGCAAGGGCTTCTGCCCATTTGATTTCTTTGTTGGTTGCTCTGATGAGAGATTTTTTGGCCAGTGAATCTTTGTACTCTTGGGCTAGCAACTCTTCTCTGAGAACCTAAGTCAGAGCCCTGCTTGTTGCAAAGATGTCGCTGACTCAGCAGACTTTGCTGTAGGCTGCAGATTACTCCTCATCCCATTCTGTGAGGGAGAAGCTCTGTGATCCACAGGGGAGTTTTGCATAGCTTTTCTGCAGCTTTTCTGCACAGCAGTGCTTTCCTTTTTCTGCTGTCCCCCATGAAGAGCAAGAAAAGTCTTATGCCTTAGTATTGTTCTCCTGGTGATACCTTTTGCACAAGTGCATGGTCAAAGCTACAAGCGCAGGGTGCTGTTGTTATACCTAGAAATACATTTGATTCAAAGCAGGTGAGCAAGGCAGAACTCCTGTAATTTCTGTGAATGAAAAGCTGCTCTAAGTTGTCTCAAAAAATTAGGAAAAAAAGTAAAAGAAATAATCAAAACCAAGTAAAATAAATGTGTACTAAAATGAAAAAAATTCTTGGCGCTTTGGGAATTTCTTTTCGGCTTCTCTTGTAATCCTATGTGTCTTTTTTTGAACTGGATGACATTTGGAGCAATTTTCTGAAAAAATAGCTTCTTAAATGTAATAAGTAAATGTAATAAGCACAACTGTGAGTGCTGCAGCATTTTTCTTGTTGGAACAGCTGTTGAGTGGCTTGTGTACTTCAGTGAGCTCTGGACCAAACTGGGGAATTGCAGGGTCGTTTATCCTACAAGCTCACTGTGTATTGAGACCTCAGTTATAACATCAATAGGGTTCATAAACCATGGACTAAAAATAGTGAATTTGTTACTGTATTTCATTAGTTAGTTCAAATTATTAATTTCAAAGAAACAAGACTTCAGTTGCTAAGAACTCTGTGCTTTAGAGTTTAGGGTTTGTTTGGTTTTCTTTTTAGTACTGCAAAGTCATGCAAAGCCAGAGTCCAGTTCTGCAAGATGTAAAATTCCTGCAGTTCTTCCTGATATTGTAGGAATTAAAATGGGCTTGCTGCCAGTTAAAGCTTGAGTCCTTAAAGCACAAATACTCACATCTACTTTAAATTTAAATATAGATTACAAGAATAAACCAAAAGAATGCAGAAGGAATGTACAAGCATGAGGTTACAGCATCCAAAGGAAAAGTAGCTGAAATAGTTTGGGGAAAAAAATCTCTTGTGAAACTACAAAATGTTGGAAGTAAAGAGTGAGGATTTGAGGAATGGCTGAAGGCATTTGGAGATTGATTTGGAATGGTTTGTAGCCACAGTAGAGCTGCTAGAAGGGTTTGATTCATATGGTATATTTTTCATGGCATGGTAGGGTGAGTGAAAATGTAGTTATAGGTGTTATTTTTCCTGGCTTTTTAAAATGTGATTTTTAAAACTCCAAATATTTTTTTCAGAGGTTGTGTTATTTTTACATATCTTCCTTTCCAAATGTGTTTAATGCAATCTGTCAGCTCAGTTTCTGTTTACTTACTAAAGGTCAGATTTTTTCAAACCATCGTCTCTGGTTTTACATGTGCAAAATGCAGGGGGAATAGGCATGCATACAAGTTTGTAGTTGATGATTTCTAATGGATGCAGGTCAGATGATCTGAAAATCTACCTAATTGATGAATGCAACCAAGTGTTTAAAGTAGTTGTCAATTGCACCAGGTTAAGGCAGGGCTGAAAATCAGGCCCTTGAAATGTGGAATTCCTC